TTCCGTATTAAACCACTGAAAGTGTTAGCAGGGCTTGGCAGAAAGCAGCCGAGTTTTGAGGCCCCGAAGGTTGGCCTCTCTGGCTTCGGCCAAATCAATCTGTGAGTTCGGCGCTTTCCGCTTTCTCAGCTCGAGTAGTCGGTTTCTGACCTTGGCCATGGCGTCTTTCGCGGCACCTCGGAGAAAGCAAAAAGCAGAAGACGCCTCGAGTCGAGTCGCCCCAAAGTCGGCGCTTCGCAAAACGTCGGGGCGAAAAATCGGTATGACACGTCCAAAGCCTCCAACCCTCTCAGGAAGCTGAGTTTCCCGTGTTGGACTTCTAGCCAACCGCCTTTATCCCATGTCAAAATCCCAAGTGTCCAAAGCGCAAGCGCAGTCGCAGTGGTTGGGACCAGGATGCGGATCACCTCCCCATCCGAACTTGGAACCTTCCCAAAGTCTGGGGCCTGGGGAACGCTTCTTTTTAGATCGGATTTCGCCCCCTCCTACAAGAAAAAAACAAAAAATCCCAGGTGGAGAGCCCCCCCCCGGCCTGACCCTCCCTAAAAGCTGCCCCAGAGCATCGGATCGAAGACAGCAACTTGTTGTTTTTCCCAAACCCAAAACCCAAAAAACAGCAAACCCAAAAAGTGGCTGTTTTGTTTTTGTTTCCTATTTTGACTTCGACTCTTCTTTTTTGCATGGGCCGGGCTTGATTTCCAAAGGCCAACAGTGGACGCGGGACACTTGGCTGGTTTCCCAGACACCTGGTGGGTTGCTTCATGTGATTTCCGTTTCTGGTTGAAGTCCAACTGATGTGGGGCCTTTAAGCTTGTTGGGAACATCATATTGATAAAGGCTGGGCTTTTCCCTGAAGGCTGGGTCTGGGTTCTGCGGTTTGGTTTCCCTTTAAAATCAACTACCACAAGAGTGCCGATTCGATTTGTGGCATATAACAAACCAATGAAGAACTTCCGGGATCGAAATGCCTCAGGGGCATTTCTTTTGTGAAGGTTTCAATTCTTGAGGCTCGGCCCCTTGAAATTATGCCCATGCATGTTCGGGCTAGAGGCGTTTCTTTGGTGAAGCCCTCATTTTGTTGGGAGGCTTGGCCGCAGAAATCCGGATCGGTCTGGGTCAGTTTTTTATAGGGGTTGATTCCCCATTCTTTTTAACCATCGTTTTTTGAAAAAGCCGGCTGTTTGTTTCCCCAGCGTTTTTGATGGATTCCTGGAAAGAATGGAAGGGGAAGGTACCCGGCAGCCGAGGTGTGTTCAATACAAAAGATCTGCGGGGCCTTGGTCATCGTTGCCCTGGCGGCCTGGGGCACGTGGGAGGAGTGGGAATGCGCGCGGTCTGGGGGGCTGGGGGGGCTAGAAGGGGCGGGAAATTGGGGGCTTCGGAAGGTCACAGGGGAAGTCTTGAGCTGGCACCAATTTCGCAGCTGTTGCCATCGATTTCCGTGGCGTATAAGGAAACCGCATGTTTTGGAGGTCCCCTAATTTTGGGACAACCCCACCAGCTTGACAAAATCGGAAATTGTTCTTAGAATCCTTTGAGAACCCCTTCCCAGCCCTGCCATGGTGTGTGTGTGTGTTCCTACATCGAATGCTTGTTGTCTCACGGCCTTCAAGAAAGCAAAGTTCTAGAAGGTTGACCCAGTGCTTGGTTTAGAGCCCGGTTCGGATTTAGATCTGAGCCCGCTCTTGAGGGCAAATGGGAAGCAACCCACCCATCCAAACCACCCTTTTTCACATTTCGGTATGTTTACCTCAAGGTTTTACATATGGATGGTTTCCCCTTACGAACTTTGGTGGACGAAATCCTGCACCACCTAAGAAAACTGGAATCAACAATTCCCGTTTGAAAGTGGTGCGAAATGGATTTCGTCCACAGTATGGTGGCTGGAAGCACTGGCTGAAGGGATGAGTCATCCATGGGACTAGAAGCTCTGGTTGCATCTCTTTGCCTGGCGCCTGGCGTCCGGGGGGTTGGGCGTTGGGCGTTGGGCGGGCGCCAGGTTTCCTCAAGGTCCTTCACATGGGACGACCATTGGGGGAAACCTCTAAACAAACAAGTCTCAGTACATGAGGAATGTTACCCATGCTCATTTGGGGGCCAGGAGAATTGATCGACCCCCCGCATGTCAGCAAGAGGGGAACTGATGAATATGCCAGAAGTACGCAGGTTTTAGGCCCTGGTTCCATTTACCAAGGTGCCAATTTGGGTACAAAAAGTCGATGTTTGAGCCACAGCCATGTGGTCCGTGTCGGGCTTCGGTGCGAAGCTTGGACGTGTCGTGAGGACCCGAAGCCTTCTCAACTGGAGTCAATCCTTCTCAGATTCCTGGACGAGCGCCCTGGCAAGTAGCTGACCCAGGTGAACTCCAGTGCCATGTTCCTGGCTTACGCGTCGTTTTTGCCTCGTCTTTTCTCTCGTTTCGGCGTCGTTGTTTTTTTTCTGGCGAGGACGTTTGATTCGCCTCCGATTCGTGAAGCAGCGCAGCTTTTTCGCAGGATTTCAGGGGCCTGAAAAGGGGTTTGCCCCTTGAGTCTATCTCAGCCACAGTGTCGATCCTTCTTGGGGTGTCACAAACCAGACAAAGACTGTCCGCGATCCCATGAGCAAGGGCATCCTGTTGGGCAGTCCCTGGATCCGACGTTTTTTAAAATGCCCGTTGTCAGGGAGGCTCGGACTTTGGCCGCTTCTTGGGCTTGGACATGCTTGGGCCAGAGTGGCCAAGAAAAAGCACATCTTTTTGGCCACTCCCTCTCGGAAGTGAGGAGGTGCCAGTGGTTGAATTGAGGAAATGAGGAAATTGTCAGTTTGGTGGCAGCAAAGGTGTGGTTAATGTTGACCCCGGATTAATAAACCCTGGTTGATTAATAGGGGGGTTGTCCCCTTTTAGTGGGGATTCATCACTTTTGGGAGGGAAAACCCCCTTAATAATTACTTTTCTTGGCGAGAGGAGAGTCGGGTTTCGGAAGTTTGGGCTGGCGAGCTTCTGAGTTGCACCATTGTCTTGGGGCTCGGGACTGGCCTAGGAAAATGGCGTGTGCTTCTCCACCTTGTCATTTTCCCCTCTGGTTTTTTTTTAAAGTTGGAACCTATCACTACTGGAAGTATGCTCGCCATTTTCCAGAGACGCATTCGCAAATGGAAGGTTTAATTAAAGGGTTAAAAGGCCCCCCCCCCCCCCAACAGCCCCACCAGTTTTGGGGTCACCCTATTTTGATTCAATTACCCTCGGACACCCTGGGTTGAATGAGCCAGGACATCAACCATGCACTTGAGAGATTCCACTTGCACAGTACCGGGAGGTTTCGGAAGAATGAGAAATTGCAATCGTCGGCGCAAGGTGGAAATGCAACTGAATGACTCCCCTGCAAGTCAACATGGGATCGCCAGAACTGGCATTGGTACCGAGGCCTCCTTTTGGGGGACCGGTTTTGGGTCCCATGTTAGTTCGAAGGGTGCTATCCAACAGCTTCAGAGAACCTTGGGATTGCACTGTGAAACGGATTCAAGATAGTCCATCCAGGCTGGTTGTGGGTGCAATCTTGGCCAGATCGACGGTGTGAAGAGTCGTTTCCCTGGTGCTTAAACTGACCTCATAGGGAGTCTCATGGCACTCGTTCGCGCTGTTGGGTGAAAGCAGATGGCACCTTCCCATTTTGATCACCCTCAGGCCACTCCCTGAGTTGGACTTTTTGGGAAGTCGCTTCTCCTGAAAAAAAGCCACCTTCGCCACACTGCCTGAGTTCCTTGAGGCACTTGTTGGCTTTGGACCATTCTTCAAAAGGCCAAATTTGTCTGGCCTTTTTCCGCCAGAGTGAGCTGTCACCCCTGGAACCTCCGCGAGCAAGATGGCTCGTCCAAGGCAGGATGCCAGCACGGTGGCATTGCTCGCCGAGATCGAGGAGAGACCTATACCCCTTGAGATTGTATTGCCAGGTCCCAGGGTTCAGCAACATAAGTTGTACAACTGAGGGGGGGGGGTCATTTGTTTAGTCGAGGCGAGGGTATGAGAGACCTTGCCTTCCCCAACTCTCGCAAGACGAGGCGCCTTCAACGAGCGTTCCCTTGCTCCCTGAGTTCCTGGGCTTGAGTCACATTTAGGTTTTCAACATTTAATTGCCATTTTTCGGTACATAAATTATTTGGTTACCAAAATTTACAAAATTTTCAAAATTGGCACCAAAATTTGCCATTTCAAAATTTGGTTACCAAAATTTGGTTTGGACTTGTTGTAAATTATTCAGGAACAAGTGAGGGACTCAATTAGCTGCCTGTTGTACGACGCCAGCTCACCGATGCGGGGGGTAGAGCGGCTGAAAGATGCTTTGCATGGGGATCCAATTCTTAATTCGGGTTTTTGGAAATACTGCAAACACTGCAGATTAGTGCCCGCGACACGGGAGCTCTTTCCACACTTCCTTTGACCATTGCCTCGAGGAGTCTGTTTTGGTTGTGTTGCCTGGGTTATGGACCATGGCTCTGCACTTGCACCGTTGCACGTGGTCCCCCCTACCTGTAGGCGCACTTGGCTTGGGGTTTTGATGGTGTGTCATCATGACTGTCGACTTGAATTCCGCTGGGCTTTTGAACGCCTTGCTTTGGTCGGTACTGTCCCTTGGTTAGCGGAAACACCGCCTAAATAGTGCCAGAACCCACAGAACCTGCTTGGAAGGGTGCTGAGAACCATTCTGCTGGGGACGGGGTTGGCTGTCCCAAAAACTAGCAAAGATAAATCGATTCCTCTGGTTTGTTTGGCAGGGACTCACATTTTCAGACGGCCCATAGGTGTTCCTATAGTTTTGTAGCACAGATATCCCCACCCCCTTCAAAATGAAATTGGGGGAGGGGTGACCTCTGGAATTCCATTTATGGGGCCATTTTCCCTCCTGTAAAAAAAGAGTATATAAATGGAATTGGGGGACTTCTCACCCCCCTCCCCCTTAAGGTAGGGGGGATGCACAGATTCAGCTTGTAGAATCTGACTCGGGGTCTTCCAGGAGTGGATGGCTCCGGGTTTCGGCGCCCTGCCCAAGCATCAGGGCCGCTTAGGCCCGTTGGCGGCGAGGCACCTTCTGCGGCTCGGTTGGGTGGCTGGGGTGTTGTTTGTGTTGCGTGCTACTTGTTTTTTTTGGGGTGGGCCGTTTCATTGCCATCCCTTCTTAAAAACCAGGGGTTACATATAATGTGCTGAAAGCTGCACTGGCCCATGTCTTGCAATTTTCGGCCTTCGGACTATACGACGGCGCTGGGACACGCCTGCGGTCCGCACATTTATATGTACTGACGGCTTGAACGGCCTGTTGGTAATGTCTCTTTTGGAATGATGTTACCTGCTTGAGGTTTACGAATAGGCCAGAATTCAGGGGTCCCTGAGGTGCCCCCCCAACAACCAACCCCCAATTCAGAGGTAGTGGTTGTAAGGTTCAAAGCACACCTCAGCCCTTTTCCCATTTTGATCCGCGCAAGAGGTCGGTTGCTTAAAACCATGTAAATGACGAGGTTTTATGGACAGACCCCCCAATTTGTTGTGTTTTTCTGGAAATTCTGGGAGTATGCCCCTGAATTGGGGGGTCGGTTCTCTAAAGCGTCGTGATTTACGGGGTTTCTGGGGACCGACCCCCCAATTCAACAGCGTGTTGCTACTTTTTTCCGCAAAAACACACAAATTGTGGTTTGCTTCTGATGTTATTGCGACCAGTACTGTCCTCCCAAGGACAATGTCTTACTTTTTGTTATTGCTTTTTTTGGGGGGGGGCTTCATAGCCACTCCTTCTGAAAAACAGGGGTTACATATAATGGGCCCCTGAAAGCTCAAAAGTACTGGCCCATGTCTTGCAATTGCAGCCTTCTTTCGGACTATAGGATGGGAACGGCGCTTGGGCACGCCTGCAGTCCGAGCAGTTTTGTGGACTGTGAACGGCCTGTTGGTAACATCTCTTTTGGAATGATGTCACCTTCTTGAGATTTACGAATAGGCCAGAATTGCGAAACACATTTTCATGGCCGTGGGCAACGGTAGCTTTGCTTCAAGATCATTCCAGCAAGATCACCGCCAGGGGCTGGGGTTGCGTAATTTTACCCTTAGCCGCGTGACGTTGACAAAGCAATGGGTCCAGCCTGACTTTCAGACCAAAACCTTTGAACAGCCTTTCCCCCCTGCTGGGATATAGATGTACAGAGGACCGGGACGCTGATCTGAGTTGCCAGTCAGTTGCTTGAACAGTCAACTTCTGATGGTAGCGGCCAACATCCAAGAAGCTGCAACCTGGGCCACAGTCCCAAGCCTTTCGGGGAATTCAAAGGCTTTGACCCCACCCAAAATGAACAGAGGTATTCGAAGTGATCCCCCCAAATTCCCAAACAAGTTGTGTGGGAACTAATTTCCTCAAGTTGCTGGTGCAAGGACGAGGCCAAGGAAACTGCATCTTGAGTGCCTTGCGTCCGAGGCACGGTTTCTTCAACTCCCACTATGGCCTCAACATCGCAGGCATCGGCCGTTGTCTTTCTCCGTTTGTAAGCTTCAGGGTAGTTGCGACCTTGCCCATGAGCTCACTGCCCCAGAAGCCGGGCGTCTCATTTCTTTGGCACGATCTGTTGTTAATTCAGGTGGTGCGTTAAGCAAACACAAGCAAGCTGCAGTCTTTCTCTCAGGCGGGGGTTTGCGGGGGGAGAGGGGATTGGTGGATTGGGTTTGCCTTCATTTCGTTCCTTTTGAGGGGGCTGCAAGTAACAAGTGCATGTGTTTGCCAGGACGGTCAGGAAGTGTGCAAGCGTGGCACGTGCGGATTTTAGGCAAAGGGTGCTTTGGGAGATCCCCTTAGGCGATGGAAGAGGCGTCGGACTCAACGAAGGGGCCGCACACGGCAAAGGAATAGCTTTCCGTTTGCGGAAAACAGGACTGGCTTCCCCTTTTTGCTTTGAAGGGAATCTGTCACTACTGGAATTATGTTTATTTCTTATGTTTCTTTTCCAGGAGGCTTAAGCAAATGGAGCCCTGAATTTTCCCGGTCGGCTGGATATGTGTTTGGGGTTTCTCATGTGAAGGTCCCCGGTGAAAATTGTGGCCGCTTGCCAACCACCAGGCCAAGTTCTTCAGAAACATGTTAGATCATCACTGGAAGCGACTCACTTCTCGACTTGGCCGGACTTGAGTCTTGTTGGGAAGGCCGTTTCAGTGGCCAACAAACTCTTCAGACTTCTTTTTTTCACAAGCCACTCGGGAAGTGAGGCTCTCCCGGTGCTTGCCTCTGACCCTTCAGCATGTAAAAAAAAACTAGGTGTTGCCAGCGGTTTCCTCTGGCGACCAGTGGCGGAACGCCTGGCAAGTCTCCCGTTGCTCGGGAAGGCTCCCAATGCCCGCAAGAGTTCGAAGAGTTGGGTCCTCGCTCTGGCACTTTGGGAAGTGGAGTTTGGACCCAGGCCAGCACTTAGTGAAGCGAATCGACCTTGTTTTCTAAAAAAGTCGCGGAAACATGGCTGGTGTCCGTTTGGCTTCCCTTGCAACCAGTGTTTTTTTTTTGGGGGGGGGTCGTTTGAGAAGCCCCGTTTGACCTTTATACTTTCCGATGTTGGCTCATGTTGATCCAAGGGTTGAAATGTTCGACGAATCTCATTGCCGGTCCTTCGCGCCCCAGTTTCCCCGTGGCATTCGTACTACTTTTCCTATGTGGTGAGGTTCCATGTAAAACCAGCTAGCCAACCTGAAGACGGCGTGAATCGGAGTGATTTTCTCAACCGTTTTAAACATGGAATGGGGGGAGGGGGGATTTCGACCCCTGGAAACAAATAGGATTGGGTCCGAAAAGAACCCCCCCCCCCCCGCCCCCCTCCCCCTCTCGTGCCTGCTTCTTTGACAAAACTCATTGGCCTTTTTGACGGCCATCGAAGCACCGTGTACAAACCTTGGTGGCTCATCTCCTTAGCTTTTTAGCCTTTCAGCGTGTTGTGGCAATTTCCATTAGACCCACTAAAGGTTAAACTTTTAGCGGGGGATCTGAGGGCAGCCCAGAAACCAACGGGAAAACTGGTCGACTCGGCCATAGCTTCCGATCGAGGCTTGGGCTTCCACAATTCTCAACAGGAGAGCGACGTTGAGGCCCGGCGGGCGGGCCAAACCCGCGCCAAAGGAGGTGTGAATGTCGCCCAGTTTGGGGACCAGCGAGTTTGCGCGTGCCCTTGGTATCCTTTCATCACATGGCTTTTGGAGGTTTGCCCTTTTCTCACATTCCTGTTGGAGGGAAAACAGCCCTTTAATATATCCGCTTGTCGTGTTGGAGGGGAAACAACCCTGCAACAAATCAACCACCCACCAAAGACACGTGAGAAACAAGTTTATGGGATGTGTCCCAACCACTCGGGTGTTCAGCCAACTGGTAGGCTAGAACCATTGTCAGAATTGGGGTAGCTGGGGCCCCGTATCATGGTTCTAACGTACTTAAGTAGCTGGAACACCCACATAAATCCTTATGCAGATTCGGTTGGCCAACCCTGTCCCGAAAAGAGAGTTCTAAAGCTCATTTGCGCAAAGCGAATCGACCAGATCTGGCCTTTGGTTTCCCCATTGTAGGTTCCCATGTTTAGTCCTGGACCAAGAAGGTGATCACCTAGTATCTCTTTAGCCTATGTTTTAGCCCGAACGGCTCATGGACCCTTAAAGGTGCTATGGGGCCTTTTTAAGCCCTTAACAAGGCCTTCTTAAGAGTCTATGCTAGGCTTGTCTAGGGCTAGGCCGCCCCATGGGTCGCATCCGCTGAGAACAAGAGACGCTCCAAAACAGTTGTCCGGGCCCTATGGAAAGAGGGGACGAACCCTATCAACCCCCAAAGGCCCTATTAGTCGCTACTGTGGATGGACTAAATCCTGCACCAATTTGAAGCCACGATTCAAATCATCGCGTGTGTTGGTATGTACGTTGGGGAAACGAATGGTTCCAGGGTTTCAGAACGGTGGTGCCTAAGAGGATTTCGCAACCATCCACAGTATTAGCCCCTATTGGGATTCTCTCACATCCAGAGTTCTTACGGTTTTTTATTATTATTTTTGTTTCTTCGGATTTGGGTTGCCGGTTTAGTGGTAAATCAAAAGTTCGGTGACTTTTTGGCCAATCCATTCGATCGGAAGTGAGGCAATTGTTGGCATGCTAAAAGAACATTGAAACATGCTAAAACACCCTAAAGCACCCTAACACACCCAAAGCATGCTAACACACCCTAAAGCACACTGATCTTAAAGCACCCTGAAACATGCTAAAACATGCTAAAACACCCCAAAACACCCTGAACCATGCTAAAACATGCTAAACACACACTAAAACAGACTGACACAGGCTAAAACATGCTAGACCACCCTAAATCGAAACATGCTAACACATGCTAAAACACCCTGAAGCACAATAACACACTCTAAAACACGCAGATTAGCTCTGATGGTGCTTTGAAGTTGGGCCGCTTGGCTCACTGGCTATACTGCCTACAGCCCCCCGCTGGCTCAAACATGCTGAACCACCATCAAACACGCTGAACTTCCCAAAGCATCCTAAAGCACCCTGAAGCCCCTTAAAACACCCTGAAACACCTCAAAACACCATGAAAGATGCTAAAACACCCTACGACACCCCTCAAACACGCTAAAACACCCTAAAACTCCCTAACATACTCTGAAACCATCCTGAAACACCATGCAACACACATTAAAACACCCTAACATACTCTGAAACCATCCTGAATCATCGTGGAACCACGCCAAAAAACCATCTAAAGGCCCATTGTCACCAACTTGTATTCCCAGGTCCCATGGCTGAGAATCACCAAAAACACCCCAGGCGGTGGAGGACCTCGCGCTGGTCAAGGACCGCGCCCCGAAGTTGCACCTGGCCCTGGCCAAGGACTCGAGCCGCGGATCAGAGTTCTCTTTGGCTTCCGCGTTGGATTGGTGTTGAAAGGGAACCCCACATGTTTTGGAGGGGGTCCCGGTTATAATTGGGGTCAGTTCCCTCAAAATGGTCCTGACCTACTTACCAAGCGGGTTGAAGGTTCATGCATGGAATGATTCGTCCCTGAAGCATGGGGGGAGGGGGTGACCCCCTGAACTCCATTTCATTTATGGTTCCATTGTGTCTTTTTGTTCTCCAAAAATGGCCTTGGGGACCCCCCCACCCCACACGTATAGGTGAACCTATGACCCACATCAGCTTTTGCCATGGCACATCTATGCTTTGGTGCATTTTGCCAAGGGATGTTACGACTTTGACTTTGTGCCAACTAGTGGGTTGTCCATCAAACAACTGAAAGTTAGTCACTTTTTGCAGGGGAGCAGAAAGCAACCGAGTTCTGGTGGTGACTTTGGGTGGTTGAGTCAAAAAAGCGAGCATATGTCACGTGTGGTTTGTTTTGGTTTGGGAGTAGATGTGTGTGTGTGTGTGTGTCTGTGTGTGTGTGTTTTTGTGTTTGTGTTTGGGTTTGTGTGTGTGTGTGTGTGTCTGTGTCTGTGTCTGTGTCTGTGTCTGTGTGTGTGCGCGTGCGCGTGTGCGCGTGTGTGCGTGTGCGCGTGTGCGCGTGTGCGCGTGTGCGCGTGTGCGCGTGTGCGCGTGTGCGCGTGTGCGCGTGTGCGCGTGTGCGCGAGTGCGCGTGTGCGCGTGTGCGCGTGTGCGCGTGTGCGCGTGTGCGCGTGTGCGCGTGTGCGCGTGTGCGCGTGTGCGCGTGTGCGCGTGTGCGTGTGTGCGTGTGTGCGTGTGTGCGTGTGTGCGTGTGTGCGTGTGTGCGTGTGTGTGTGTGCGTGTGTGTGTGTGTGTGTGTGTGTGTGTGTGTGTGAGTGAGTGAGTGAGTGAGTGCGTGCGTGCGTGCGTGCGTGCGTGCGTGCGTGCGTGCGTGCGTGCGTGGGTGGGTGGGTGGGTGGGTGGGTGGGTGTGTGTGTGTGTGTGTGTGTGTGTGTGTGCGTGCGTGCGTGCGTGCGTGCGTGCGTGCGTGCGTGCGTGCGTGCGTGTGTGTGTTTTATTTTTTGTTTTTTGTATGTTGGTCCTTTTTTTTTCGGGGGGGGGGGAAACCGAGCATATTTAAGGCGTGTTTTGTTTGTTTCGGAGTGTATTTTGATAGGCACCTGCACTTGGTCTTGGTTTTTTGGGAGGCACCCGATTCCGTGTTTGTTTGCCTGCCTCCACCAATCAAGTAACCCAAACCAAAGTTGCGCCCGCCTTTGCCCAAGAAGACAAGACTCAAAGCAGTATAAGTCGTTTGAAAAAACAAGCAAGAAGTAAACCTCGGATTTTTGCTTAGTACGCCCAATTCCCCATCCTTGTGAGAGGGCTCCATACCCCATGTGCGTTCAAGAATCCCAAGCCCAACCGCTGTGTTGCACAATCCCATTCAATGTTCTGAGCTTGATCCGTCACTGTCTCATGTTTCATTTGCTTGCCTGGTGCGGGAGTTAGTTAGCCAGGTGCTGAGTAACGCCAGTCTATCCCTAGTCAACCCCCACAAACCCCCAGTTCCATAATCATGTTCAGACCAAGCCCGACATCCCCACCCCAAGCCCAACTCCCAGACCAACTAAGCAAGGTCAACATCCCCCACCCCAAGCACCACATGGAATTTTTCGGACTCCCCATGTAGGGCTTGAGGATCCCCTTGAGCAGGTGGTTGGATATATTCTGGAAGGGGCTTGGACTTCAAGGGACCCGTGGTCAACATGCGTTCATGTGGATTTGAAGGGAACAAGGGTGCCACTGAACAACTGAGAAAATGGCTTGGGTTGAAATGGATCCGGGGGTACATTCTCCATGGAGAATGTGTCACTTGTTGGTTGCTTGGGGTACATTCTCCACGGAGAATGTGTCACTTGTTGGTTGCTTTTAAAAGGGAACCCAACAGGAAACCAACCATGTTTGGGGCTCCCTGAAGGAATGCAGCAATCTAAACCGCCAACTAAAGGCTCCAAGAGAAGCACAAAGGAGGCTTCAAATGGAAAGGGGCTGGATAGGGACTGACAAAGAAAACCATGGGGGGGGGCATACTCATTGAAGAGCCCATGGGTTTCTTCCGCTCCTCCGTCCCAACAGCTTTTGCGCGAGACCAACTACATAAAGAATGGTCTTCCCCAAACAAGGGTTCCTCTTTTTTTCCAGGGTCACTGAACAACTGAGCTTTTGTTTTCTCAGCGGGGCGCCTCAGGAGGCGCCCTCCGTCCACGGGTTGAGTCTTCGAGAGCTGGCGGTTTACGCCGCCGTGCTGCAGAGGCACCGCGGCGGGCGGGAGGGGCCGCACGCGGTCGAACGCCCTTCCGGCGGAACTCGGATGGACTTGCCGGGCTTGGCTTAAGAAGCGGTTCTCGTTGCTTGTTTGGTTTTGTGTGGTGTTGGATGGTTTTCGGTTTTGTGTTGTGTTGGATGGTTTTGTTTCTTTGCTTGACTGTCAGCTGCGCGCAAGCAATGTGGGCGCTTGCGTGCGTTTGTGCGTATGTGCGCGTGCGTTTGTTTGCGTGCTTGGTAGGCACCGCTTTGCATGTTTGGGCTCTTGTTTGTGGGTCGCGGAGTTTGTTTGTTTTGTCCGCCGGCCGCGTTTAATTGCCAGCCCTTCCTCCATGTGCCGTGTAAGTTGGCTTTTTCGGAGGGCGTATAGTCTGGCTAAGATTTGCGCTCAGACATTCACGAACAAGGAAGCACTGGCCCCTCTTGGGAACCCCAATTGCCGTGGCTCTACGTCCACCAACCTCTGGCTGAAGCATGTCTCAGCCAAACTGTTCAAGCAAACTTTTTTCTGAGAGTGTCCCTTGGTACCCTTGGATGTTTTTCAGGGTTGTTTTTTTGACCACCTGGGCCAGACTCTTATTTAATCTTAAACTCGCTTCCCACTTTTCTGATCTGTGTACTTTTTGGTATGCCTCTGTGCCCATGATGTTTGTCCCTGATTCGCTCATGGTAGCCCTTCAAACCCTTTGGTGTTTGCTGAGCTCCGAAATCCATACACAATCAGGGTCCGCTTTTTCCATGACCAACTGGGGCTCAGCAACCCATAGGCCCCATAGGCCAGGGGTCTTCTTTCTGCCGCAGGCTGGTGCTGCGAGAGGCGCGGATCGCTTTTAAAGCCGCTCGGCAGCATGGCGTGAGGGCAGCTGTGCGAGGGTTGCGCGAACGCGTGGCCTCGTTTGTAGGAAGATCCACTCTGGCAGCTGAAAAAAAAAGCGGTAACTCTGCGATTCGCATGTCCTACACGTTGCAAATCAAACAAGCAGGATTTGCTCCCCTTGCCGCTATGGGGAAGCTTCAAGGACAAGCAAACCAAGCGTGCATGTGAAGCCGCGCGCTGAGGTTGCGTGGCGCCTGCGCAACCACTCGGTCACTGCGAATCTCAAACCACAGGCGCTGAATTGGATCGTCGTGTTCGCGCTCCGCTCAGGCGGAGCTGCAGGTGAATGACTCTTAAGGATGGAATACCCAGTAGCAGTTCGGTACAGATGTTGTTAGGGAGAACTTGGGATTTAGTCTCAAAGGTTGTTGTTCTGCTGGGAGGAATCTGCGGGATGGATTCCATCTTAGCTTGCAGGAGTATACTGCGTGGAAGTGATTGGGGATTGCCGGGATTTCCATTTGTTTCTTGCTTCCTCAACTAACAGGCAGAACATATGTTCCTTTTCGAAGTGAAACATATTCTGCTCTGTCATTTGTCAGCTGCTTCGTCCCTTATGAAGTTTCCCTTGAACCAGGGCCCTCGTTTCGCAGCACTCGGGCCGCGCAACTGGGAACAGCCAGTTGCCCAGTGGATTCCGCCCTTTTTCCCTCCTCTTTTTCCGGAAGGTTCTCTAACTCAAAGTTCCTCAACTCAAGGTTCCCCAACTCAAGTTCCTGGTTCGAACCGGTCTACCCTCATGTTTTTTTCTCCTTTTTCCCCAGTTCCCTTGAAACTCAACCAAGCAAAACATGGATTTTTGAGTTTTTTTTTCCCCATGGAGACCAAACACCGGGCATCTGGGTGTGGCTCAAATTCAACAGAAGGGGCAAAACCGCAGGTTTTGGTCCATGTTTCCACTCACCAGGGCAACCCATTTTGGAAATTGCCGGTTTTTTGAGCCACAGCCATCTGAGAACAGGCGGGCCCCGTTTTTCTCATTTTTTTTCCGGCTGGATCCTTGGATCGAATCTTTCGCCCTCCAGGCCTCGGATCGATCCAAGGGTTTCTCACCGGAGATTTTCCACCAAGGCTTGTCTGCTATTGAGTTACTCTCACTTCCTGAGTTGATGGACTTTAAACTTTTTGGAAAGACCATTTTAGTGGTAAATAAAAAGTTCAGACTTTTTTTGGCCAGTCAACTTGGGAAGTGAGAGTTGGATCTTTAGACTTGAACTTTTTGGTTGACCTCAAGTTGGGTTTTCCACTAAACCCCCAAAAAGTGATTGACTCACTTTTTTGCAGAGGGGTCGTTGCAGCAACAAAGAAGGGTAACACATTTCAGGGGTCGGATGGGGCTGAAGGGTAACACCCGTTTTCCTTTTTTTCTTTTTCGGGGGCGTATTTTTGGGCCAATTATTTGTCCTTTTTGGCACCGTTCTGGGTGAGGTGGTTTAATCACAATTTGTGTTTTTGTTGGTTTGGTTCATTGTTTGGGATGCAAAAAGCCCGTCAGTGTTTTTTGCCACCATACCAAGGATTGTGGGGAGAAACAGGTTGGCTGTTTCCTTTTGGGGCCAGTCCACTCGATTGGACGTCAGGAGTTTTATTCTGTCGTCTTTCCCTTGTGCTGATCAGGGAGTTTGAGCGATGCTTTGCATAGGCTGTTCTTCCAAACTTTTTCAGGGCCAACGTCTGAAAGGGTCAAATGTGAGCAGCCCTGGTTGATCGCTAACCCTACATGGTTGTTGTTGGGAAACATTTTATATTTTTAGCTCGTTATGGTTTAGTGGTTGAAATCTAGTCACTTAACTGCTAAATTTGAATGTTCGCTCCCCTTCCTACGTCAACCAAGTCTAGAGGGATTCACATTGTAGAGGCAACTCCTTTTTTTGGGGGGAGACTGCCCGTGTTGGGTTCCATGCCATTTTGTAGGGAAGTCCTGGCTTTCCATTGATCTGGCGGACCGATCGGTCAGACACAAGCACGTTTCCCGGGTTTCACTCGGTGGCTTCCAGCCATTTTCGCTGCTTGGGGTTTGGCGGTAGTTTCCATGTAGCACAGTAACAGTTAAGCTTTTGGCAGGGGGTCTCAGGGCAGCCCAGTGCAGGGAAAGCGTGCCCATTCCCTTCACTCCTTTTGGGGGCGTTTCCCATTCAAATCAAGTAATCAAAGGGTGCCCTTATACTCTGCCCTCGAAGTGAACGTTTTGAGTGGGTTCTCAAAATCACTGTTGGGGTGGTGCCAGTGGGTATTGATGCTGTCTTTGGTGCATTTTGCTTGGACGTTAGGACTTTAACTTTTTTGCCAACTAATGGGTTTTCCATTAAACCACTAAACGTTAAACTTTTCGCAGGGGCGCAGAAAGCAACTGAGATGTCACTTCAACGGATTCTTGTAGCTTCTCTGGACGCTGCGCCCCAAAAACGCGCGCGAGGAGCTGCATGAAGTGCTTAGCTCCTCGATGCTCTTGGTGCAGCTTGGCCAGTCCTAACATGCGCACAGAACCTGCGCAGGTCAGACACCGAGACCGGAGCCGGGGGGTTGCTTCTTCTTGTCCTTTTCTTGCAGGGCTAGGTCCCCAGTAGTGCCCTTTCTCACCCCTTTTTTGGGGGGAGGGGAAACCCCCTACTAAAAATGACAAAACCGGAAAACAAGTGTACCCTCATTCTAGCCTCTCTGGAGGACCTAGAAAAGTGTCCCTTTACCGCCACGAAAAGTGGGGCTCTCACTCCCCTGCGGGGTGGGGGTCTTGAGCAATGCGGAACTGGCAGAAAAAGAGCGCCCCCTTTTTCCCACCGCTGAGTCTGAGATATCCAAACCGACATCTTCGCCTCTTTGAAGCTGTATTTTCGGGGTGACTGGACTCCTCTGGCACTTAGGGTAATGAAAGGAACGCCACAGGTCCAAGTTTCCAGTACCCTCCCACGTTGCCATCGCACATGGCAGAGGGGTCCCTTAAACAGGAAACTGATCTTCCAGGTATCCGAAAAACTGGTGCTATGTTTTGGGGACGAAGGGCAACCAGGTATTTTTATCCTTTAGATTCATGAATCATGATGGTTGCCGCTACCGTAGTGGCTCCAAACATATATAGTGCTTCCAGCTACCACTTTAGGACGTATGGGGGCAAAAACGATTTGTTGTTTCCTTTACAGGGCTCCTTAAAAGATCTCCATTTTGCAACCAGTTGAAACACTTTAAGGGAACTTACAAGGCAATGTGCAGGTGTAAAATGCATCCGGATCCCTGTGTAGCTTTAGCCTGGTTTCCCCTTCATGGGATCCAGGATCTTCAGCTGAGGCGCGACTGGGACAAGGTACTGCTGCAGCCAGATACTCTGAAGCGGGCCCACCCCACGCTGCACGAGCGCTTTCGAAGCTATGCAAGCAGCCAGCGGACGTTTGTCCTTGTCTCACTTGTCCAAATGATCTTTTGGGTTTGCCCATTTGGGACATGGGTTCATTTAAGCAGTCGTGGCCCCAAATGGTGATCGCCTTTTGTTTCTGGGGCCTGTGAGTATGGTTTTCCATTGAAACGGAGACACTCCATGCTCCAAGATTTCTTAGCCATTGAACTTCTTGGGTTTGGACCATAGTGTCAGACAACCAGTTGAGATGGGCCAATCAGCACAGGAAGTGAGGACACAAGCTCAGTGGGCAATCTTGTTTGTTGTTTCTTTGGTTCCTAGAGTTTGGCATGCAAAATGCTGCAAAACGTGTTTCTACATTGTTTTCGGTTATTCTTGACTTCTGCTTACCTGTTGAGCTGAGCTTCTAACGTTTTGCACTTGTTTGTTGGCAGGCTTCATCGTTTGAGTCGCCCTGTTTGCTTCAGAGTTCCTCAGCACCAGCCGTCACCACCTGTCCATTTGCGGCGTGTGAAATTGCCCAGGGGCAAATCATAAGCTCACTGTTGTGGCCTGGCCCAATAAAAGTCCCCGCATTTTTTGTTTGCCACTCAAATGGTGCAAGGCCAAAAGTGACTCAAGTCCATACACTCAGGGAGTGAGTCAGCTCACAGGATCTGGCCACGGGTCAAAAGCCCGGTTACCGCCCAGTGAACATCTCAATCCCCACTAAAATGGGTTCTAAAATGGGTGGTGAGTTCACCTACCAATGCGATCCCATAGATTTTGACCACTCAACTAGGTCCCCCAGTAGTGCCCTTTTGCATTTTTTTTGGTGGGAGGGTTCCCCTACTAAGATAGACTA